GGTTCAGAAATTCGTCATTGATATAGGCCGCGGATCAAACCCGTGTTGCGGGTTTGCAGCGAAACACGTTCACCACGACGCCACCGATTTTACAGACAGACATATAAAAGACAAATATTCCCCATATAGCCTTAACGGACTGTTGTGGCAAGTGCTGTTTAGCCAGCACCTATGAAGGCCGGCACGACACACGAGGGGATGGGTGGCCAACAGCACGCCCGGCCAGCCTTTGTCTCCCCCGTGGCGATGTTCACACACCGCAACCAGGTGCACTCATTTGAGGCCGAGTCAACCTATGGGAGGCCCAGGACTGGTTCAGATAATCGTCACTGGTGTTGGCCGTGAGTGGGGTTGTAGCGCAAGTGCCCTAACCGCTGCACAACAACTCGCCTCCCCCCCAAGACACAACGCACATAGATGGCCAAACCTCACCCGGTAAGCAAGTGAGGTGCGGTCGTCCGTGTGTTGTGTGTGGGGAGTGAAGCCACTCGGCAGGACGACTGACATTGGGCAACGCAGTGAGCACATCATCCATCCCGGACCCCTCTCCATCCCTCGCAGCTCAAGATCACCCTCTGCAGCTTCCTTCCTCGCCTCTGCCTTGTACCCCCCCCCCCCCCACCACAAGCTCACCTCTCCCTTTCGCTCTCCCTCGTCGGCAGAAGAGTTACAAGAGAACGACCGCCGGAGAGAGGCTGAGGTTAGGGGCGAGGCGGAGATGGAACGGCCAATTCATTGGTGGGGTGAGTGGGGTGGGGTGGTCTCTAGCTGGAAGCGTCGAGGTGGGATTCCTGGTTTGCGTGAGAAGGATGAACGCTGGGGGGAATTTGTGGGACCGCATTGCGAGAACAAAGCGAGGAATGGATGCGTTTTTTGCGTTTTTTTTGTGTGTTTGGCAACGTTCCACGAAAAAAGTCTTCCCCGCAGGCGGACTCCTCCACGCGTAGAGAGGGAGAGAGCCAACACTGACATTCCTTCCCCGTGGCGGGGAGGCGACGTGGCCCCCGAAACGTCGGACACTTTTGCAGAGGCGAAGGTGCAGGACGGGCGATTGTGAAGCGAGGACCGCTGACATGCCAGCTGTCTGACAACGCATTCCCCCTCTCTGGGCAATCGTAGAAGGTCGGCAAGACGCCGATATTCAGGGTCGAACCGACAACCGTTTTCTGTCTGTCCGTGCGGTCGTCCCAATTGCCCCGCGTCAGGGCTACTCGCGCGAAACGTTGAACAGTAAAAGCCTGGGGAAGACAACCCCAGCAAGGGGACGAGAGCTGGTAGGGGGGGACGCTGGCTTCAGGATGGATGGATGGCATCGAAGCCGACACACTCCTTCTGCTTTCACTCCGCCGTACAATCGGATCGCGTTGCGCGCCACTGATGCACGCTCAACCGCACTATTTATCGAGCGCGTTGCTAATATAGCCCCGGCTAAACTTTTCCAGTATCGATGTCCCCCCACCCCCACCCCCCCCAATTTAGACGACTTCTCCTGTTGCCCAGGTGACCCACCTCTAAACTGGTTCTGTCATCGTAACAAGCGACTTGCCCGGACTGTGTGAGTGTGTGTGTATGAGTCTCCTCTGGTTATTGACCCACTGCATGTCTATAAGGCGAAGAGCGGTAGCGTAGTGGTTAGCGCTACGCTGCGCTACGAACCCGGCGACCCGGGTTCGATTCCCGCTCACGGCCAACACCGGTGACGATTAATCTGAACCGGGCCTGGGCCTCCCCTAGGTCGACTCAGCCTCAAATGAGTATCTGGTGCGGTGTGTAAACATCGTCAGCGGGGAGACAAAGGCGGCCGGGCGTGGTGTTAGCCACCCACCCCCGCGTGCTTGCCGTGCCGGCCTTTCATAGGTGCTACTCGCTAACAGCACTTCCCCCAACAGTCTGTTTAGACTATACGGGGGATTTTTGTCATTGTATGTGTGTCGACTCGGTCTCACATGAGTACCTGGTGTGGTGTGTAAACATTGCTATGAGGGAGACAAAGGCGGCAGGGGGGGGGGGTGACTGGCCCAGCCACCCCGACGTGTGCCGTTCCGACCTTCATAGACGCTGGATAAACAGCACTTGCCCCAACATTCTGTTAAGGCTATACGGGGGATCTTTGTCTTGTGTGTATATATATGTGCGTGTGTGTCCGTGCGTGGAGCTGGCCACACCACCCCCCCCCCCCACCTCTCGCTTGCCATGTTGGCCTTCTTAGGCGCTGGCTAAACAGCACTTGCCCCGACAGTCTTGTTAAAGGCTATACGGGGGGTCTTTGTATTTGTGTGTGCTACTGTAAATGCCACGGCCGCAGTGCAACGTGACGGCAGAGAGAGAGAGAGAGAAGAGACGAAGGGCACGGGGCGAGCGCGACTGACTACCACCCATCGCACCTCCGGCGAGCCATCCGCCGTCTCCTCCTCACGCCATTCTCACGTCCTCCTCCGGCTGAAGGCCCTTCGTGACAAATGACGTCCGATACATCCCACGTGCTCCCCGCCTCGTGTCAATCGAATGACGTCCCAAACAACACCCGAGTCGTCCTTCGCCTGACATTCTGCAATTAAAGCCCCTCCACCAGACGTCCTACTGATGTCATACACCTGACATTCTACACCTGATGCCCTCCACCAAACGTCCTACCGACGTCAACCACCTGACATTCTGCAACTAAAGCCCCTCCACCAGACGTCCTACTGACGTCACCCACCGCACATTCTACACCTGATGCCCTCCACCATTCGTCCTACTGATGTCACCCATCTGACATTCTACACATGATGCCCCTCCACCAGACGTCCTACTGATGTCACCCACCGCACATTCTACACCTAATGCCCCTCCACCAGACGTCCTACCGACGTCAACCACCTGACATTCTACACCTGATACCCTCCACCAGACGTCCTACCGATGTCACCCACCTGACATTCTACACCTGATGCCCCTCCACCATTCGTCCTACTGATGTCACCCATCTGACATTCTACACCTGATGCCCTCCACCTAGACGTCCTACCGACGTCAACCACCTGACATTCTACACCTGATACCCTCCACCAGACGTCCTACTGATGTCACCCACCTGACATTCTACACCCAATGCTGTCCACCATTCGTCCTACTAATGTCACCCACCTGACATTCTACACCCAATGCTGTCCACCATTCGTCCTACTGATGTCACCCACCTGCCATTCTACACCTAATGCCCCTCCACCATTCGTCCTACCGATGTCACCCACCGCACATTCTACACCTAATGCTGTCCACCAGACGTCCTACTGATGTCGCCCACCGCACATTATACACCTGATGCCCTCCACCATCGTCGTATTGATGTCGCCTACCTAACATTCTACAGCTAACAACCCCAACCTGATGTCCCAGTCAGCTGAGACCCGTTCAACCGACGTCCTCCGCACGAAGTCATCCACCCCTTGACGGACAGCCGACGCCCTCCCCACACCGGGCAAACCTCCACCGCACACGCGCGTTCCGTCAGCGCACCCCGCCTGATGTCCCCGTACACGCGGCACCGCGGATCTGCGATCCTCCACCACATCCCCGCCGCCTCCTCCTCCTCCATCTGCTCTCCTCCAAATTAAGTCAACGCATCTTCTACACGAGACGCGCTCCGCCCGACGTCCTGCACCTGCCTTCCTTCACCCAGTCTCACTCCCTTCACCTCGAACACGAACGCGTCGAGCCTCTCCGGCACACAAGCTCCCACGCCACCACCCGGCATCACGCCGCACCTCCGATTAGCACGGGGTTGGTTTGGCTACGCACGGTGCGAAAGAAGCCCAACGTGACGAGTACTCGACTCGTGCTGTCGCGATGCGCTCAATAGCACCCTACGGAACAGGTGTTCAACCGAGGCTTCTTGACAATGGGGGGCGGTGGACGCAGATAGGAGGAGGGGGGGGGGGTACGTGTCCTTTATTTCAACCACGTGAGAGTCGAATGACATACCCGAGTAGTCATCTGCCAGGTGAGACGTGGGATACAAAGGCGGATTTTACGCCGAGACCACACATTGGCTGGGTGCGTCCTGCGATTTTCAACCGGCGTGGGATCACAACGTTCGAGTCGACGACCACCCCAGCCTGGGTTCGACTCCCCACACCGCCCCCCCCCCAATCTCAAATGCGTGTTGGGGTCGTTTCCTTGTACCACAGGGGTGGCTTGCCATCCGTCCACACGAAGCAAAACTGTGAAGCCACCCGGCCAAAGCGTTCACCGATTCGGGAGGCAGTGAATAGAACCGCTCAAACATGGCCCAGGATCCTCCTGTCAAGCACTGCCGAGACTCCGCGAGGCTCTCCTGGGTGTGTATAGCCACATAACGTTATCAGCACGAGCATTGTTGTTGCTGTAATTCACCGAAAGTCGTTGCGCGATTTTTCAAAGCCGTGCACCGAACGCGCCGCGCCCCACAGTCGCAGGGTCAAGGTTAGACTCCTGCTCCGGGCGAAGACACCGCGACTCGCTCGGGCTTAACCAGACGGGAGAGCCACACGCGGACCTAAACACCTCACCCCCTGCGGCCACGTGGGAACACGGTAGGGCTTTGGAAGTGGGGGGGAAGGGGGGGGTCCAACGCCACTGATGGGTGACCGCGCACCCCTCTCGGTTCCGCGGGGTACACACGGAGCCAAGCTGCAGACCCCATCCTCAGCGTGTGCTCCTGCCTCCTCCTGCTGCTGCCTCGCGCCATTGTTTAGCACGTTGAGAGAGGCGAGGCAGAGGGCCGGGGCAAGTGTTCCCAGGGTGGGTAGGGACACCCAACTAGAGGGGGGTACCCCGATCGAGCGAAGGAGGGTAGAAGAGGGGTGTGGAGTCGGGGGGGGGGGAGTCCTCGCTCGGGGGTGAAGAGGAGAGAGGAGAGGGGGGGGGGGTCCCACTGCGCTCACAACCGGCACGGCTGAATCGCAGTGCGGAGTGACTCTCACTCGCGCACTCACCAATCGCGCTCTCTCTCTCTCTCTCCCGTTCTCGCCACTCACCTTGCCGTCGTATCACCCGCCCGTTCGACTCTCCGACATATCTTCACGATCCACAACCGCGGCGCGCGCGGAGCCGGGCACTCTCGAGATTTTATTTATTAATCCGCAACGGAATCTTGGGCTGGACGCGCGCGGGTGTGCGCGCTGGTGCGCCCGCGCGCGCGTTCGTTCGCTCGCTGGCTCGCGAGAGAGAGAGAAAGAGAGAGAGTCGAGCGGGCAGCCTCACGCTAGGCTCGCCTCTGTCGATCTGTGCAGAGAGGCGAGCGCTGCAGCTGCGAGCGGGGAATGTGGGAGGTGCGTCCACGCCTAGTCCCCTCCCCGTCTCCCCTCCTCCTCCTCCTCTCCCCCATTAACCTCCTCCTCCTCTCCCCCGCCCGGCTCCCTCCCACTCTTTGCCTCTCCACCCCTCCCCACACCCCTCCCCGCAACACACAGGCTGCTGTCTGCCCTCTCCCTCCCCGCGCTCTCTCCTCGCGGCATCCCTCTCCCCCGCTGCTGCCTCTTCCCCCTCTCTGCGACTCTCCCCTCTACCCCGCATCGCGCCGGCTCCGTCTCTCCCACTCTCCGACGCCACTCACCGCACGGAGAAGCGGACTGGCTCCTTTTTTTACTGGAGCGGACGGCAGCCGGCCACATCGACTGATTTATCCCCCTGCCTCCCAGAAATCCGTGGCTCTCTGCTCCCTAAAATCCGTGGCTCTCTGCTCGCCGTGGCTCAGTGTTCCACGTGGATCTCTGCACCCCGTGGCTCTCTGCTCCCCATGGCTCCCAGCTGTGTGGCTCTCTGCTCCCCGTGGCTCCCAACTATGCGTGGCTCTCTGCTCCCCGTGGCTCCCAGCTATGCGTGGCTCTCTGCTCGCCGTGGCTCTCTGCACCCCGTTCCACCCCTCCCACCTCCCAGGGAGAGCCATCACTCTGGTTTTTTTTCATCGCATCCCTAGCATTTATTTGGATCTCTCCGCTCTGAAGAAGGTCCATTGCCCGAAACGTCTGCACACGATGTATATTATTTACATACTCTACAAGGCCAAAGAACGCCAATGACGAATATTGCGATTGGAGTCCTTCATCGAACAGTGCGTTGACAATGGACGGTACATTAACGAGTATGATTTAATTAACTTAGAATCCGTTAATCTCATTTATATAAGGCAGTGTTGACGACAGGCCCGTGATGTGTGTGGTTGTGCGCGCGTCTCCAAGGGTGCTCAGCACAGACCCGAAGGTCCAAAACGCAAAGCGGTCAGTGACAATCGGCACTCTCGGGGTCGAGTTGAGAGGCGCCTTGAAATGAGCAACGTTACGCGAGCTTGGGAGAAGGAGACTGACTGATGGGAAGGAATTCCAAAGTTGAGCGTGTGTACATATGCAGAGGCACGCTCTATTAATTAATTAATTATCCGCTCGAAATAGTGGCTGGTGAGGTGACCTTTAGCTGCGTGCAGTGTACGGCCTTGTGTTAAATCGCTGTGAATTGCGAGAGCAATTTACTCCTAACGAAGATAAAGTGAGTGGGGCCACCCGGCTCTCCCTCCCCTCCACCACTACCACCACCACGCTCTCCCTCCCCTCCACCAACACCACCACCACCACCACGCTCTCCATCCCCTCCACCACCACCACCACGCACTCCCTCCCCTCCACCACCACCATCCCCTCCATCCCCTCCACCACCACCACCACCGCCACGCACTCCCTCCCCTCCACCACCAGCATCACCACCACCTCCACCACCACAACCACGCAGCTCCCCACCCTCCACCACCACCACCACCACACTCCATCACCACGCAGCCCCCCCCCCCCTCCACCACTACCACCAGCACGCCACTCGCCCATCACCACACAGCCCCCCACCCTCCACCACCACCACCACCACACTCCCCCTCCACCACCACGCCACTCCCCCACCACCACACTCCTCTTCCACCACCATCACCACCACCACGCCACTCCCCCACCACCACACTCCTCTTCCACCACCATCACCACCACCACGCCACTCCCCCACCACCACCACACTCTCCCTCCACGTGCCACGCTGCCAAGCGCGTACATCAATCACCACGGTTACTCACTGACAAAGATATACAGACGCAATATACACATATGCTATGAAGAAGGGCGATTGCCCGAAACGTCGCCAATTACATATTTACATATCTTTTTAGCCAACAGTGTTCCTGAATGATGTGCATGAGGTTGATTTGTTATTTGTGCTTTGGCACAAATCACCATCAAATATATATATGCCCTCCCATCAGTGACAAATACACAAACAAAGACAAAGATCCACCATATAGCCTGGGCAGGCTGTCGGGGCAAGTGCTGTTAGCGAGCGCCTATGAAGGCCGGCACGGCACACGAGGGGATGGGTGGCCAGCACCACGTACAAAGACACACTGACACACGGCAAATCTAGACACAAATCATACACACACACACTGACACACAGCGAGGGATACTTCAGACACACTAATAACTCAGTGACTCAGACAATCACAGCACACCACGAATGCACAGACGAGACACTTGACTAATCAGACAAAGACACACATTGACACACCCAACCAATATATGTTCTGTATCGTTTTATAGACTGGGGAATTGGTGTTAGCGAGCATTGTTAAGGTTGGCACGGCGCACGATGGGGTTACCGTGGTCAACGCCGCGCCCGGCCGCCTTTGTCTCCCCAAATACTGACGTTTACACACCGCACCCGAACGAACACGCACGTACAAGGAACGAAGATACACACAAAGAAAAATATACCCCGTATAGCCCGTAACGGGCTGTGGGGGCAAGTGCTGTTAGCGAGCACCTATAAAGGCCGGTACGGCACACGAGGGGGTGGGTGGCCAACACCACGCCCGACCGCCTTTGTCTCCCTAGTGGCGATGTTTACACACCGCGCCAGGTACTCATTTGAGGCTGAGTCGACCTAGGGGAGGCCTATGGCCGGTTCAGATAATCGAACTCGGGTGGCCAGGTTCGTAGCGCAGCGTAGCGCTAACCGCTAAACCACCGCTCCCCACACACACAAACCGACACACAGACCAATAATTCACACACACCGCTAATTCCTACAAACACACACGCACTTTAGGAAATCATATAATAATCCACACACACGCATCCCAATACACGTTCATCCACTCATATGATTCACGTACCAACTCTTGCGAATTTACAGACGTACTTATTTACATACCACAAAGACACACACTGACGCACCCATACTATTGTGCAGTATTTTTATTCATACATACCCGGTATAGCCTTCATAGACTTTTGGAGAAAGTGCTGCGAGCGAAACATCTTTGAAGGCCGGCACGGCCCACACACAGGGGTTGGGGAGGCCGGTACAACGCCCGGCCGTCTTTGTTTCCCCAAAGCTGATCTTTTCACAACGCATCAGACAATCATTTAAGGCTGAGTCGGCCTTAGGGGCAGGCCCGAAACCGGTTGAGATATTCGCCACTTTTACTAGCGGGAATCGAACTGGGGCGGTTGAAGCTCGCAGTGCGCTAACCATTGCGCCACTACTCTCCACGAACTCACGCAAACAAGACAAAGATCCCCCGTGTAGCCTTAACAGACTGTTGGGGAAAGTGCTGTTAGCGACCACCTATCAATGCCGGCACGGCACACGAGGGGGTGGGTGACCAAAACCACGCCCGGCCGCCTTTGTCTCCCTAGTGGCGATGTTTACACATCTCAGCAGGTACTCATTTGAGGCTGAGTCGACCTAAGACCCGTTCAGATAACCGTCACTGTTGTTGACTGTGAGCTGGAATCGAATTCGAGTCACCGGGTTCGTCGCGCAGCGCGCTAACCGTTGCGCTACCGCTCCCCACTAATGCACGCACACACACACACACCGACACACACATATCCACTCTACTAATCCACGCACACGCGCACGATGAGCTCAAGGAAGGGGAGCCGCCGGTAGGAAAGTGGGGGGGGGGGGTGATTGGTAGGGTCTGGTGGGGGGCAGGTGGAGGGGGGGGGTCAACCACCACCACCACCAACCACCAGTCCTAGTTACAGAGACGCATTAGCAGTGATGTCATTATTAGCGGAGAGATCGCTCTGTACGTGCCCGGCTTGCTGAGCGCGCTGGCGGCAGCGATGCCAGCCAAAAGGGAACGCGGACCCCCCCCCCTCCCACTCCCCCCTGCGTTTAGCACAGAGTAGTCGTGGGGAGAAGGTGTGGGATACCGTAGTTCAGATGGAGTGCTCCTGCCAATATCAAAGTGTGGAGCGCTGCGGCAGTGGCGTTTGTGCAGCGGAATTATCGTCGTAATCGTGGTTTACAGCACGTGCTCCCCGAAGCATGCTGATGCTACACGGGTGATCTTTGCCTTTGTTTGTCGTTGTGGGTGGTTAACGGGCTGCGGGATACGAACCCGGCGACCCGAGTTCGATTTCCGCTCTCGACCAATAACGATGACGAATAATCTGAAGCGGTCCTGGGCACCCCCATCTCCCACCCCCCCCCCCCCCCCATGTCAACTCAGCCTGAAATGATTACCTGGTGTACGGTGCGTGAACAGCGGCCGGGCATAAATGATGACCACATCACCCCACACGCCTGTGTCGTGCCAGAGCCTTCACGACTGGACATCTGCGGAGAAGGGGCTTCAAAGGCTCATCGGATTCCTCCCGTGAATACAGTTTTTTTATTTTCAGTTTCATTTATTCGATGTAGCCCCGTGAGCCATTCGGCTCTCGACTCGGGTGCAACCGCGACAAACAAAAACATGAACAAAAAACATCTTAAAGCGACACTATGAGACCTCCTTTACCAGTGGCAAAATATAGTAATAGGATTTTACCCTTTCAACTGGTACAAAAACTGACACCTATATACAAGGCATCATGTTTGCAATAACCACAAGCAGTCAAAATGCAAACAAAAAGAAACAACTTTTGGCGTCATCTGGTCCAACACCAATGGAGACGAGGCTCTAAGAAAAGCTGTCTCGGGTGTGGACCAATAAATTTCAAGGACAGTGCGTATCATTATCATCATAAGAGTTGTTTCTTTTTTTTGCATTTTGACTGCTTGTGTTGTGGTTATTGCAAACATGATGCCTTGTATAAAGGTGTCAGTTTTTGTACCAGTTGAAAGGGTAAAAACCTATGACTACTATCTTAAAGTGACTACACGCAAACTGAAAAATCCAGGAAAAAACAGCAAAGTCTTCAGATTTGGAGTGTGATGTGGGCGCTC